TGTGTGTGTGTGTGTCTGTGTGTCCCACCCAGTCTCAGTATCTTCGCTGACATCTGTGAGAAGACGGTGCTGAAGAGGATCTTGAAGGATCTGTGGAAGATCGTCCTGAGCAGCCTGGAGAAGATCATCGTCCTGCCGCAGAGCAACGACAGCCTGGTAAACACTAAACCCCCCCAACCCTTCACAGCTCTACACCGTTAACTGAGCCTAGTGACCATGAGAGCGTAACACACACTGATTCACCGATGTACTCGAACAAAACAGGATCAGACTGGATCTCACGTCAGTGCTGAGCTTTGTTATCGTTTTTATTCTGCACCTTGTTGACGTCTCTCTCTGTCGCTCTGTATAAAAAGCTGAGGCGGTGCTCTGCTGTCATCTAGTGGTGGCAAAGTGTGTTTCCTTCGGTGTTTGTTCCAGTTTGATGTGATCATGTTGAATCACTGTTTTTATTCCTTTAGAGGAAACTGTGACGTGTCTCTCTCTGTTTTTACTCTGCAGGGAGCTCAACTCCTCACTGCGGCTAAAGGACTCTCTAATCTCAAGGTGACGCCCCGCAGGCAGCGGCAGCCATTTTAATCATTGATTTCTTCTTGGAATATAAAAAACAATATGAACATAAAAGCTGATGCTTTGTAAAATGTAGTGCAGTAATTATCTGCCGATATATGTTGTTGGGTCAGAGTGAAAAGTACCTGAATCAGTTTAAGTAAAGTACAGTACTTTGTTACGTCTCAACGCTGCCTGTAAGAGACGTTTGTCTGATGTGAGCGTGTGAACTCTGCAGGGAGGAGGTGAAGCCAAAACCCTGACGCCCAAACAGTGCATCATCATCGACGCAGGGCTGGAGACCATCAAGGTGAGTGGAGACCTGCGTGTACTCACATATCTGACAGATAGAGCTACAACAAGTTCAGCAACTTTATTTTCTGATATCTTATTTATTGTATTGACTATTCGTGTGTATTTGTACTTGTACTTTGTTGTTTTTGTTTTTATTGTTCATCCATTGGTCCTCGCCTTCACCCTGATGCTTTCTTCTTCCAGCAATACTTCCACGCTGGAGGAAACGGGCTGAAGAAGGCGTTTGTGGAGAAAAGTCCTGAACTGGCGTCCCTGCGCTACGCCCTCTCCCTTTATTCCCAGAGCACCGATGCTCTCATCAAAACCTTTGTCACCACGCAACACTCCCAGGGTGATCACACACACACACACACACACAGGTATATTGTGTGTCTCAAACTGATGAAATATTTCTAAATTTCTCTTCCTGTTGTCTCAGTGCATGATGGGATGGGCATCAGAATCACCGGCAATGAAAAGATTCGACCTGATCGGGGTAAGTTCACAACACTCTTAATATTTGTGGTTCCTTAGGTTCCACAGGGAAATATCGGAGGTGGTGGAGGTTCTCTTCCCTGCCCATGAAAGCTATTATGCTTTTTATTCCCATTTCCTGTGTGTTACTTGGGCTTTTATATTATGCTTTGAATTAAAAATCATCACTTTATCAAATACTAAATAAAGTTAAAACGAAGTTTCCTCATGAGCCTCTGCAGAACTGATAGAAATGTGAATGTCTTTGTCCGAAGCTGAGTTGTAAAGTAAAGAAAGAAGATCCCTGCAGCAGCCAAAGGATCAAAACCAGACACGATTAGATTAAAGTCTAAACGTGTTTAATGTTTAATGTAATATTGTGTCGACCCGTGCAGGTTCAGGGGTGGAGAAGCCGATCGGAGAGGCCGTTCTCCAGATCGATATGATGCTCGGGAAAGAACGTAAGGTCAACGTCAGAGGTGAGTCAACCGTCAGTCTGTTCAATATACAGTTATAATGTTTAAATTAAACCTCTTCAATACAAACTGTACCAGGCTTTAGATCTGATTTAATTATAATTCAAGGATCATTCATACTTGTTTTTGTCTGTTACTCTAAACTCTTGACCAAAGCACAGGTTACCACTTCCCATCATCACTTAGAAAATTATCTAAAAGCTGAAACTACTCTAAAAAAAAATCTGTAGCTTGAGTTTAAAAACTGACGGCAACTAAATCCACAACAAGAAAAAAGAAAATTCACAATCGATTTTCTACAACCAAGGTTGAACAGAATCTAATGTTAAATTTTAAATATGGAAATTGACTCAGATTTGTTTTTTAAGAAATGTTCCTAATTTTAGTTTAAATGTCTTCAATTTCAAAATTAAATCAAATTTCCTGTGATGGAATATTTGGATCTTAAGTACGTCTCAGACCTTTGCAAGTTAATTTTGAAAACAGTCAAAATATGACCAAAATACAATATAACATAGGAAAATAAAATGGATAACAATATGGTCTTATATGAATGTTAACATATGTAACTCGTGCATCTCTGTCTCTCGTTCCCTCTCATTCAGTCATTGCTGTAAACGACATGAAGTGGCAGACATCAGGGATGTTCCGGCCTTTCGCCGACGTCTCCGTGATCGGCCCCTTTCTGGCCGACAAGAAACGCAAGTTCACCACGAAATCCAAGAACAACAGCTGGACGGCGAAGTTCAACGAGGCTTTCCAGTTGTGAGTTTCAAATCCAGACGCGTGCACCTGAAAATTGTAAGTAGGAGGCTGATTTTCAATGTGTCCCTCTGCCCCACAGCATCCTGGGTAAGGAGTCTCCAGACTGCTACGAGCTCCAGGTGACCGTGAAGGATTACTGCTTTGGCCGCGCGGACCGGGTCGTCGGCATGGCCGTGGTGCAGCTGCGTGACGTCGCGGACCGCAAGAGCTGCGTGTGCTGGTGTCCCCTGGGGCCACGCATCCAGACGGACGAGACGGGCATGACGGTGATGCGTATCCTGTCCCAGCGACCTGCTGATGAGGTGGCCAAGGAGTTTGTCAAGCTGAAATCTGAGATTCGTCCAGTGGAGGAGGGGAGATGAGCAGAGGCACTGACACCGACGCTGGAAACTGGATCATAAATCGAGATCTGGGTTTAGAGTCAGGTGCTTTATTTTTACAGATTTCTGTCGTCCTCAGCAAACACAGACCGTTAAAGTGTCTGAGTGATAATATTCAACATGGGGGAGAAGGACGCGGTAGATATAAGTGAACAAAAGATGTTCTCGAAAAAGAAAAATGATTTAAATCACCAGCTCGGAGGGCAGAGATCGTTTTAATGAGGGACTATTCAAGTCGTCCAATTACATCTGGATAAACGTGTCTGTCGCCTGTCGACCATCATGGGTTCTGTCTACCGGACAGAATGAAAAGAAGCAAACATATCTTACATTTTACTGAATGGAGGAATAATTATTGAAATGTGTGAGGCCTAATGAATATCTTAAGAGACATCAGCGTCACTGTTGACATGATTACATACCTGCTGTCAACCAGCGAACTGATGTCAGACATCGTAAAGAAATAAAACAGTTGGTGATAGAACAAGTGCTTCAAACATCAGCACCAGATTCAAGCAGCTGATCCACAAAGTCTCAAAATTCAACTTGGCGAGCGGCCGACTGTCGAGCGGAGGTTCACTCTCGTCTCAGGGCCGTGCTCATGGAACCGCAGTCGTGAACACGGAGCAGAATTGCTCGCTCGTGAGATGGTTTTGCATAAATAAATAACTAAATAAATTTAGACCGCTAACAATTACCACTGTTTCCCCAAAGACGTCATTTGATACAACCAAACAGCTAACTAATAAAAAACACAGTAACGCGAAAGTCATACTTAGCGCGAGTGGTTGCACAGAACGCGTAACAACATTTTAAGCAGGTAGCCAAGGAAAACTGCACCAGGACTGCAAAATAAAAATAAAACAGCTCATGAGAGGAGAAGTGCAACTGACATCTGTTGCACCAGATTCATGGAGGTGGTCGGGACACAGCAGCCGATCCAGAGCTTTTCTGGAGGGTTGACTGCAGACGGATGTCAGGATGCTGCTAACGATAGGTTGCTTTTTAACGATAAAACGCTCGTCATATTTTTCCCAGAGTGAAAATATAAAACCTCTAAAAGAAAGAAAACATGACACACTGAGGTCGGATTGCGCAGTTGGTTCTTAACAATTACGTAGCCTTAAAAGAAGCCAGCTGGCTAACACAGCTAGCTCACTGTACTCCTATCTAAAGCATGAATGGGTTCGTCGACAGAGACTTTTAAGTTAAAATACTTTTTTCCTGAAACAAAGAATTTCTCGGCATCGTAGTTAAAAGTATAAGACGAACAAAGTGCAGCTTCTCTGCCTTGTGGGGAAAAAAATGTCACGTCAGAGGTTTTGAATTCAGCTCTTCTGTTTTAACCAGGTGTTAATTAAACTGTGACTGTGAAGACTGTTGACCTGTAGACCTGCTCTGAATAGAAAACCAAAAAGATGACACCTGTTTTTAACGGTTCAAAAGTACGGAGGACTTGGAATGGTTCTTCTAAGGATTTAAGTTTATCCCCTTTTTACAGTTTTAAGATAAATGTTTCCGATGCCACAGCCTTGCCGTGCATGCACAGCCGCACCCTGTACGGATCATATGATTCGGAGTAACTGATTTTCTACCACAAGCTGATGGAAGATTATAACACATGCAGGTTTAAAGTATAGCTGATCCACACTCGTCTCTGTTTACCATGTGCCAAGGAACTCAAGTGTTCAACGAGCTCTCTGTATGAACTCTGGGTTGTCGATCGGACGTAGACGTGGCCGCTCTGAACGTCCCGCTTTCTGCCGCACGTTTGCCAAAAACTAGCTGCACTTTGGCTCTGAACTCAAAAGGATCAGTTTGGTTTAGACAAGATAGTTTGGAAACTATTTTAGAGTGTTGTCTTCTGTTGTATTAAAACAAACAAAACGTACGTCCACAGTTGAGTATAAGTGGGATTTTTCACAGTGGCCACAGCTGCAGCGACAATGAGCTCTTGCACTGTAAGTTTGTAAAAAAAAAAAAGAATATAAAAGGAAAATGCCTGTGAGCAGAGCATGTATTTATTGTATACAATCACACTTAACTAGAATTGTGATCTTTTTCATGTCTGTACTGTGAAATATGAAGAATGATCAAACATATGTAAAGTACTTATCATTATTCTAATGTGACATATGTTGAATATACTTGTAACAATATTTTGTACATAAAATATTTATGAATCAAGGCTGCGGTTGCCCTCGTGTGTGTGTGTGTGTGTGTGTGTGTGTGCGTTAAAGGGTCTGAGCCTTTAGCTCTGAAGTTAGTGGTGAGGACTCACGCCAACTTCTAACCTAGATTTTATTTGTATACCTCACAGTTTGTCTCATAAGGCTTAAAAAGAAGTGGCATCCTATGCTCTTAACCCTCAGCAGGAAAACTCTCTTTTAATTCAGATGCAGTTGCAGTCAGCCCCGTTAACAGTAGCTCATGGACGCAAACATGTTTTACCTTCATGTCGAGGATTAAACCCCGAGCATGAACCTTAAAGCACCTTACAGATGTTAGCACGAATCAGCCCAACATTCTATCAGCTAAAGGTCATTTCATCCATCACACTCGTCAGAGGATTGTCACGCAGCGAGTTGAGGTGAGTGTAAACATGAATCCATTTGTTTGTTTGTTTAGGAAACTTCACAGGATACATTTTCAATTTTAATTTATATATATTTATTTTTATTTCTTTCCAGTTGTTGTTTACTGACACAACCTTCATCATAGGAGAGAAGATAACGATGAACACAGTTTAAACTCAGTTCACACAGTGTGTCCATGTCATGAATATTTAAAATGGACTCTGTGAGGTTCTTTTATATTATATCATATTGTATTATGAGAAAATAGTTTGTGCGTTAGCTTAGCGAGTTGCTTTGTTTACATCCCGGGCTTTCACTGGGGTGACGTCACCGAGGAGTATGCTGCTGCGAGTTCTGCGCAACATGGCCGAATACTCATCAGGTGCTTCACGGTACAGGATTGTTTTAAAGCAGCTGTGTCCCGGTGCTCGGGCGTATTCACCCGGTTAAAGGCTAGCTAACTTCAGCGGGCTAACAAGCAGCCTCGGAGCTAGCGTTAGCTTAGGGAACCGATTTGTTAATTAAACAGGAAGACAACTCGCCCTCGGTTCGCTAAGCTAACGCTAGCTCCGATGCTGGCCAGACCCACAGCGGACTAGTGCTGGAGATTCATAGTAAATAAAGAGTTTCGCGACAGATAATGCGATTATCTAGAGGCTGTATTGTCCGAAGGACTCCAAGTTACTCCAAACCTTCATGGGTGAGTAGATCTACACACCATATGCTGGAAATAAGGACCAGGTTGAAAAAAAACAAACTTCTCCTTTAACATGTGATTTTGTTATATGTGAAGCTCATTTAATTAAGTTAAATTGACTCAATTTAGCCGAGCGGAGAAGAAGAACATACAGTAGATGGTGTTTCCACAGAAAATGATGACTCATGAAAATCTCCAACTGGTTTCTAAAAACAAGAGGCTAAAAGCTGAACTGGAGGAAGCTGAAGAGCTTTATGAAGAGGCTACCATCTCTATGAAGCGTGAGCAAACGGAATCTGACAATCTGGCTCATGAAAACCACAGTCTGGTTTCTAAGAACAAGGAGCTACAAGATGAACTCGAGGAAGCTCTACGTGACAAAGACCTCGCTCATGAGGCTGCCATCTCCCAGCACCTTGAGGAAACAGAAAAACTGGACCAGCTGACTCAGGAGAATCAGCAACTGGCTTCTGAAAACAAGAGGCTAAAAGCTGAACTTGAGGAAGCTCTACAGATTGCGGAAGAGACTACCGTCTTTATGCAGTATAAAGAAACTGAATCTTACAATCTGCCTCATGAAAATCTCCAACTGGTTTCTAAGAACAAGGAGCTACAAGATAAACTTGAGGAAGCTCTACGTGGGAGAGACCTTGCTCATCAGGCTGCCATCTCCCAGCAGCAGGAGAACACAGAAAAACTGCGCCGTCTGTCTCTGAAAAATCACAAATTTGCTTCTGAGAACAGTAAATTAAAAGGTGATCTTGAGGAAGCTTTACGTGAGAGGAAGCTCGCTCAAGAGGCTCCTGTCTCACAACTAAAGGACAAAGAAGAACAGGTTGATTTGACTTGTAACAGTCAAGAACTGGTTTCTGAGAACAAGAGGCTACAAAGTGAACTTCAGAATGCTATACTTCAGAAAGACCTTGCTCGAAGGCAGAGCCAGAGAGACAGAGAAGCTAGCGGCAGACTCGCAGAAGAAGTGGAGAAGGAGAAAGCCAATTACCTGCACCTGTTTAAAAGATTTGTGAGGAAAAAGCTTGGACGTTGAAGTTAATGTGCACTCTGCATAACATCATACTTCTTAATAAAACATGAATAAAATGATAATGTATTCCACTCTCATGTCCTCCAACGACCCGCTGTTGCTCTGCGTTGTGTTGCTTGTTAAATTGCCTGTCCAGTGCGGGCGGTTGAGCTCCAAAGGAACGGATAAGGAGACTTAGTAGTTCGGAAATGGTGGCGACAGGTTTTATTTATGGCACATGCGGCATCTTTAAGGGTTAACAGTGAAATCTGTATCACTTCCATGCACTCAGATCATTTTTAAGCTAGCACATTCACTGAAGCCGAAGCTAACAACTTAGCAGCTAGTACCTTTTACTGTGTCACATCACACATCGTTTTTAACCAGAAACAAAAAGTGCATGTCAACAAAATCATTCAGCAATAAATCCCTTCACAGTTTAAAACATATAAATCGTTTCAAATAAAATAATCAAACACTTAACATAACAGGGCTGCAGCTCCACCTAGTGGTGCAACACTTTAGTTGACTTACAATAACATAAGTGAAACGGTTTCCCCCACACAGGGACCTGCTGCCTAGGAGGAAATTCAGACCTGGTTCGTCTGGTGTTATCAGGCAGGGCCACACTGGCTGTGGTTGCGCCACAGAACGGCCGTGGATCCGTTAGTTTCTACACAGTTTCAATGCTTATCTGTTAAACAAATGTCACAAATATAATTGATTGCAATATTGCCTGTGCACTTTTCAAAGTAAAAACACTCCAGCGTTTCTGTCTTTATATACAGTCAATGGTTTCTGTAGACTGAATATATTCATTTGTTTTTAAATTGTTTTTATCGTGAAGAAGGAGCAGGAGATGCACAGCTTCATACCGTATAGTGTGCAGGACTAGTTTTATACAAGGGAGTGTAGTTGTCATAGCAGAAACTTCAGAAAGGATGTAGTTATATTAAAAGTTAAGTTGAAGAATTTCAGGTAATAGGCAGTAGTGTCTCTCTCTCTCTCTCACTCTCTCTCTCTCTCTCTCTATCAGTCTTTCTTTCTCTCTCTCCCTCCCGCCTTGATGATGCACACAGATAAAGAAACAAATGGTAATGTATAATGACATCATAAGCTCAGTTTGTGGCGACTTTGAAATGTAGTTGTAAAATGCTCTTGTAGTGACACTGACACCTACTGGCGGTTTACAGATGCTGCTCCCTAACAATGACCCTGGCAAGTTGGCAATGAATAATACTGTGTCCTCAATTTCAAATTAAATGAAACCTCTTTTTACATGAACACATATAAACACAAGAGGAGCATATAAAACTCTTTCTCGGCTCAACTTTTATCCAAGAAACCACTGTATATACAAGATGTACATGTCTCCAGCTTAGAGGAGTTATGATCAAGCAAGTAAAAGCTGTGGAGGAGCGGCAGCGTTTGATTCCAGGCCTCCGTGAATCTCGAGAGCCGGTACAGGAGCAGTCAAACCTTCAGCTCACACACGCCAGTTAAATTGAGCTCAAGCCGAATGAGCAGAAACTTGCTGTAAATGAGTAAGTGAGTAAACAAACGCTCTACACAATCTGCAGAAACACATGGTGACGTTCAATCTAATCTGTGAGCTGTTCCAAACTCTCCCAGCTCTAAACCTAACAACCTTTCAACAGTGATTCAGTTTTCCCCTTGTATGTAATGATAATTAATAAATATGTGAACATGAAGTTCTTTATTTACATCTACTCACTGCTTGAATATGGTGTGATCACATTAACATCAATGAATAATCTTAAATTCATGGAGAGAAAAAGACATTTTGCAAAAACAATTAATTGATATTCAAATCTTGAATTTCACAGATTAATTAAAGTCAAATAAATAACTTCTGATGACTTCAGTGAATAGTAGTTTGAAATGATGTCCATTATATTGATGGTGGACTGTGAAAAAGAGAACACACAGCTGATTATTCTGTATCTTTTAATCTTCTGCAGTCTCTGATGGAAGTTCATATTGTACATTCACCACCTACATGCTGCATGTGTGAAGGTGAGGGGCTCCGTCTCTGAAGGTCATAGTTTCACTTGCTTTCTATAACATAAGCCACTTTCAGACACGACCTCCTGAGGAACTTTCTCCAGAGGTTTTCTTTCACACATGCACAACACAGCAGGAGATTCTCTGCTCAGAGTGATCGGGCGGGGGATGGTGGAGCGGGCGGAGGCAGGACGATCTGTGATTTTGTTTAAAGCACACTGACACAGCCGTCGGCCACAGTCACCACAAACCCTCTCGGCATCTTCGTCAGTGGCTTCGCTTTTTCTTCTAGAGATATTAATAGTATTTAGTTTTGTTCAATGTTGCGACTGCTGCGTGTTAAAGGCGTCATCGACCCCCCCCCCCCACTCGCCCGTCGTGAATCCTACAGAGGATCTCCTGCTGCGTTCTCACACTGGCCCGCACTTCCTGCAGACTTTATACTTGGGGGGCGAGCCAGAGAAAGTCTGCAGAAACTCCGGAGGCACTCGGACATCACACATACATCTTCATCTTCAGTTCAGTGCATCTCTGAGAGTAGCTATAAAAATACCATATATTTCTTTGCTGTTGAAAATAAAAACAGTAAGTTTATTTTGCCCCAACAGATTTGAAAATGTCAAACATAAAAGTATTGACATCACGTGCGCCTCTGGTTGTTCACTTAAACCTAAAGTTAAGGGTTATGAATCATATTTATCAAAGTGCTTTGATTCTTTTCCAAGTCAGTTCAACAGTTATCGTTTCTGTTTACTTTGGTGAGTTAGGTCATCGTGAAGCTGCACAACACCAGGATTTAATAGTTGTTCCGAACAGGAAAGTATGTGATTGCATTTTAAAATGTCTTTGTCTTTGTTTGAAAAGACATTGACACGGACACGTCCACACAACTCTGGAGTTTGAGAGCCACTAACGCTGCTGGTCCCGTTTTAATCTGAAAACTCTGGTGCAGCGTTTTAGTGGATGAGCGGAAACGTAGACGCTCACAACCTCTTGCTGATCGGGTCTTTTCTGTCAAGACTTCGCCTCTGCTGATTTTTCAGGCTCCTGTCACGTGACCACATGACCCACATGAAGAAGACAACCAAATTAAGACGCGAAGCCTAATTTCTTTTTATCTTTTTACTTAGCTAGCTGTGTCATTGACATTATACTGTGTGGTTTATACTGGACTTTAGAAACTGACTCAAACTGTGGATGATCCGGCTTTCAGCTTATCTGTAATGAAATCCTGAACATAAATAAATAAATAAAGAATCAACATATAAGCATGAAGCATGAATTAATTACAGAATCCACTTAAAATACATTGCTTTGAAAACACGATTCAGATTCTACATTTGAGATCTTATCAAACTGTATGAGCCCAGATATTCCTGTCAGCTAATCAGTGCGCTGGATCAAGGACTTTGCTGCATTAAAGTCCGAGTAGAGAAGTTCTGAAGCTCAAGTTAATCAAACTATTGGCTAAAATAAACATATTAAACTAAAATCTGTCTCAGAGCCTGAGCAATAGAGATTTTGAGGAGCTGATACTTATGTTAGATATGCGAGTAAAAAATTCCTGATTCAATATTTATATATATATCAGTGTGTGTGTGTTCTTTATAGTTCAGACATCAGTGTGTTTCATAAATGCTTATCGGTGGAGATCTGAACTTTCTGAATGAGGTCATGGAGGTTTATTAAAGTTTCATCACACGTTCAGATTAAACACTGTTAGTGTGCACACGGTCGTCTGAGGCCATGTTGGACCGAACTGTGTGTCAGCAAATCAAGTACGTCAGGCTGTGCTTACATGTGGCTGAATATTACTGATCTGACAACATGGAGGAGGCACATCGAGTCGCCTTCTCAGTTACGACAGTTTGTCCTCCGCTTGCGCTCTCTTGCCGGAGCCCCCGTTGGCCTGCGGGGGCAGTAAGTGGTCAGGCAGCAGGAGCTCGACTGTAAAGCTGATCCTTTTGTTCTGGAAGATGCTGTAGGTGTTGTCAAATCTCAGAACGTCTGCGGACGAAGAACAGAGTTAGTCGCCACGTGTGGACGCGGAGGGCGCTGTTGCTCAATATGTTACATAGTGTTGCTTAGCTGAAGTGGTTACTCACAGACCCCGGGGCGCTCACAGGTCAGAGATCCGTCCTCGGGCACCAAGTGGGCATTGTAGCGTTGGCTGGGAACGACTTCCTGCATCTGAGCCGCTTTCCTCCATTCTCCCTTTTTAGCCTTGAGAAACACCCCAAAGCCGATGTCCGCCCCCTCGCTGGAAAACTGCCACCTGACGGGAAAAATAACGTCTCATTAAAATCTGCCATTATGAGCATGTTGAGAGACAAGATACTACTTTAATGATAACATATACATTTAATATATAAATATATAAACTTATATATAAAAATGTATAATATTTTTAAAGCCATAGCATAAATGAACACTGATTACTGCATATGCTCTTTTGTTTAGTTTATTAATGAATTCAATAATTAATGAGATGATCGTAAAATAGTAAATTACCATAATAATGCTTGTTGGAGATCGTAAGGTCGCTGCATCTATGAGCCGCCATATTGGCTACTTGTCATTTGTGTGTTAGCTTTTAATATATAACGTTAAAGAGCTTGAACCAGACAATTTGTTTGTTCACGTCTCCATCAATCAACTAATCCAGGATACCAGCACAACTTAAATAAGTCTTTTCTCCCTGATGTCTGTCGACTGACCTGAGGACGCAGCCCGGGAACAAGATCTCATAATCCAGCTGCTCTGACGATCCTCGACTGACGGTCAAACACTGCTCGTAGTCCACCTGCACGTGGTCCCGCACGTAGTACGACGGAGGAACTGGGCCGACGTGATTTATCTGTGACAGAGACAACAAAGAGTCAGGCAACAGGAGTCGAAGGGTTAATAGATGAAACGTTTGAGAAGCTGAAGAAAGAAAAACAAAAGCTTCACTTACTGTGATTCTGTTTCATTCTGAGCACAAACTATATAAAAGTGTGACCCCAGAAAAAAAAAAACCAGCGAGGGTTGTTTTCCACTCTCCTGTTTATTACACACGACATCAAACCCCTGACGCACAGCTCACACTCACACTTCATCACAAAACTTGAAATGGTGAAACAGAAAGTTTTGAAACTCTAGTGGTTCTAATGCTGCTCAGTTCTCACATCCGGGTCAAACTCATCTGAAACCACTTCTCTACAAATCTTGCTAAAGTGTAACTGGGCAGATATTTGGAAACAGACAAAGAGAAAAGATACAGAGAGAAAGAAAAACACACATCTATAAATATTAATATAAATATTCTGTTAGACTTCATCAGGCATCTCCCGACATTTTGGTTCTTTACACAAACTGAAGCAGAAACATATGAAGTGAAGAAAGAAGCTCACAATGTGTAGAATCACACAATGGTAACGAAGCATTTCATTAATTAATAAATTAATACACTTTGCATGAATCCATTAATTAACAATACATGTAAATATATTATGACTACAACCAAACAACATCAATATCAATGTATTATTAAATTAGGATTTTACGTCGTTTTTGTAAACCGCTCATAAATTTGAACTATTTATTGATTTCCTGTATAATATATTTTAATAAACAATCTAAATATCAATTAATGAATTACGTTGTAATGTAATCTGTAATTATTTATAGATCAATAAATGGCTGATGTACAGAACAACTGGTTATTAATTAGTGAAATGCTCAATGACACTTGGCTCTGAAGTTTTTAATGTCCTGTTGCACGGATCATAACTTTTTTAAACAGACATCAACAACTACAACAACCTTTCCTGTAGTTTGACAAAAACATCGTAGGATGTAATTATTCCGTCAAACCGGTAAACGAACAATGAGATGGAAACAAACTCATTTCCAGTTAGATGAGAAGATGAGCTGAGGTTTGCACAAAGACTGGAAACAGAAGGAAACAGACGAACAGAGTCCGACAACAACTCTGAAAATCACTGTTTATATACGTTTCGTTAAATCTAAGGGCCGCAGCAATCCCTAGTGGTCAGGGACCGCAACTGCAAAACTGTTGAAACTTTCATTTAATATTGTACAGTAACATTTTGAGAGTAACAGGATTAATATCAACCCATCATCGTGTTTTATAATATTCGATTCCATTTGAGAGCATTCAGTGTATTTTCACTGGAACCTTTTTAAATCACAGAACTGAAAAGATCTGTTTGGTGAAATGTGAGAATCTCTGAGTTTACTGAACGTAGTGATTTGTTGAATCCCTCCACCTCCAGTCTTTATGCTAAGTTGCTAACATTAAGATGTTTACATGAGCTGTCGTTAATCACGTTCATTAATGTGTCTAGTGCTGCTCCTGCTTTCAGATTCATTTATCATCATGAGCGTGCTCTCAGTCTAATAGTTTCTACAGTCCAATGAAAACCACACAGTATAATGTCAATGACACAGCTAGCTAACTAAAGAGATTTTAGAAAAACAACAAACAGAAACGGTAGAAAATAGAAAAACACTCTTAATTTCTCGTCTCCTGAACGCGGCCGTAAATGAATTTCTTTTCCTTGTGTTCCTCATTTGTCCTGGGCCCAATTAAAAATCTACAGAAACAGTAACAAACACACGTCAGTTCTCTCATCTAGAGTATTTTCTATTGTTAGGCTGCATCCACACAACTACGTTTTCATTTGACAGCAGCGGTTTTCAAACTAAACCGATCTCTGTCCACACGAGCATTTTACCGACGTCTTTGTTTCCAAACATCTCAGTTTCTGCTCGTCCGGAGTTTTCAAACTAAAACGGGACCAGCAGCGTTTCCAGACTTTACCGGCTCTAAAACTCCGGAGTCGTGTGGACGAATCTGTGTTAATGTGTTTTCAAATGAAAGTGTAGACGAGTGGATGAAGCCTCAAGCTGCTGTTTCCTTCACTAGTTGCTCAACACTACACCGAGGATCTGTCGTTTCTACACAGCGAAGCAGAAGTGTTTTTAATTTGCAGCGTTCTGTGGATTGTCTGCAGAAATGTTAAATTAAAATGAATCTTCTATGATCCAGTCCTTTAGAAAACTTCTGCCTGGATCAGACTCCACTTTCCTGCTCAGGCAAATTAATTATTCTCTGCCTGGAGGAACTGGAAGAGCTGGTGCGATGAGAACATAATTTGCCAGTCAAATCCTCAAATGTAAACTCACAACACGTCAGCAGTAAACATAAAAAACCAGCTGCTCTGTCTCCAAAACAAAGCTGTGGCTGCCAAGCTAACGCATGAGGGAAGCCAGAGAGAGAAAACTACAGAGCAGGAGGGAAAAGTTTCAGAGATAAGAGACGACAAACATGAAACTACTCCAAAATAATGTGCACAGACTTTTTCAGACTTCAGAGGAGGGCTGATCGTTCAGAACAGACGTGTTTCCTGTTAAAGTAAAGTGACCTCATTCAAAGCAACTGACTTTTGTGTCACAATTCTGTCAATAAAATAAAAAATAAGATAAAAACACATTTTTATTGCCTCAAACATTTTCCATAAAACAACTGACCCTTGTGTGTGTGATGACATTGATTTCAGCAGAACAAATGTAGAGTGCGGATTCATCTGCTGATCACGAGAAACAAACCTTTGGATGAACTTAAATTATAGTTTTTGCATTGAGTAAATCCTGCCCTGTGGGTGGATCCCTTTACAAAGCGGTAATTTCCGTCTACGTGCATCCACTTGTCTCCTCCGACCCGTCAGCCCTCTTCTCTACAAAGCAGACTACAGGACGCTGAGTGGTTGACTCACCCGGGTGCGACAGCGAGGATCTCCGTCAGGATCCGTCAGTTTACCGCCGTATATCATCGGCAGCTCCTCCGCGTCGATGTACTTCAGTAACACCTCCTGCCAGTTCGCTGTCAAACAGCAGCGCAAGTTTAAAAAAAAAAAATCCATCTGAATCTAACGTTCTTTTCAAATCTGATGCGATAACGCGCGGCGTCTCACCTCCGAGGATATTGATCTTGTGTCTCGTGTTCTCGCTCAAGAAGTGCTTGACGAGGTTGAAGGCCACAGGAAAGAGTTTGGGGGCTGCAAGAGAAAATAAAGGTAAAGGTACAAACCAGACGTTTAAGCAGCAATAATCAAGAATCATCCGTTTTCTGGAGGAATTCACCTTTAATGACGAACAGCCTCTTCAAACCCTCTGGGTAGTTGTCTTCAAACATCTGGAGGATCTGGTGACGCAGAGAACGTTTTAAGATCCAGACTAATTCTAATGCATCACCTCGTAGTGTGTGTGTGTGTGTGTGTGTGTGTGTGTGTGTGTGTGTGTGTGTACCTCTCCATATGTTTCTATAGCAGGCTTCCATAAGTGTTTCAGACCCAGACCTTCAACATCGTAGATCATCGTGATCGACTCCACGTTCTTCCCCAGCTGGATGAAAAATGTATTAATGTAAATAAAACATTACAAAGGTGGTAGAGCAGGTTGGTCATTAAATAAGTTTGTGGTCACGTTGGATAAAACTACAATTTGATTCATCAAGTGAGAAAAGTGATAAATTCATATGATTCCTAATGAAACAGAAATTAATGAAATATTTCTAAAAAAGGAAGAAATTAGTTTTTGGCCAAAATGTAAAAAAAACCATAAAAACTGCATAATAAAATAAAAAGTCAAATTAATATCACATTTGAAAATAAGAGTTAAGTCGTCTGCTATGTGTTAAAACGTGAAAAGTAAAAAAAGTTTCCTTTAAAATACCTTTAAACTTTAGGATATTTCATCCAAAGCAAAATTATCAACAAAAAGTATTAAACTTAAGTTGATAAACTGAAGAAACAAGAGAAGAAGAAAATGCAGCTCTGTACGGTTGTAGTTAGAAACTGTGCATTAATGAGGCGTCTGAATAATCAGAAAAATGATTTACGTGGACGTCATCTCGAGTCGGAAGAACTCTGAAAGTTTTTGGTACATCGTGTCACAAAAGATTTTTGCTGATTGTTTACGTTTTAAAAACTGGTACAAAATGTTGTCGCTCATTTAAAATGAATAGAAACAGTCTTTAGTCTTTTTGAGGTGGAAACACTGGATCTCTTACCAGGGGTGTTCTAACAGGGTGGGCATAGCAGGCTATTTCCTGGGGGGCCCTGAGCTGAGAGGGGGCCCCTTTGTGAGAAGCCCCTTAAATTCTATAACTGGAGACTGTAGGACAACATGGTCACAACCCAGCGTCCTCTGAAAGGCTCCGGTCTCTCACCCTCTGTGACTGCAGGGTGCAGTCCTGCTGCAGCATCTCACAGTCTCTGATCTTGGACTTGATGAAGTCCTGTTTGGAGGCGGACAGGAAGAGGCCTTTGGGATCCACCGGCCCGATCACGTCGTACCAGATGGGGCTTCCCTCGCGGTCGTGACCACACATCCCTCCGGACAGATACTTCTCTATCACCTGCAGCCGAACATCAGAGCATCAGTGAGCAGAATGACTCAGTTTCTGTCCGCGGGGTTCACACGTGTCCTGTTTTTACCTCTGGTGGACGCCACTCTGTGGTTATCGTGTCCACTTTCATGTGTCTCCTGAACTCCACGTGCTGGAAGAAAAGACGGGCGTGAAGTTAAAAGATGAATTCGTGTTGAGTTACGACAGAAACTGTTTCTACGGCAACCGACCCCCCCCCCCCACACCCCGAGCACAGTGTGGTGAATTAAGTGGCTTAGGAGGTTTTAGTCGGTAGATGATGTGAAACCTGCTCCGTCAGCAGGACAGGGATCAGTCGTGTGCAAATACACACACGACAGTACACACGTGCAAACACATGTTCACAAACTGTTCTGATTTGTAAATGTTCAGATATAAGCCTGACGCGGGCAGCTGCAGAGTAGATTGTGAATCAGTCTGATGAGGTTTATCTATGATATGATCATCTTTTTACTGCACGTTACTAAAACAACCGGAACAAACAACAATGCGACGATTCTGCTTCTGATTTGACGATTTGTGTTTGTTGTCTGGACTGTGTTGAGCTTTCAGGGCCACCGTACTTTTATTTATAAGTGATAACTTAATTCATTATACGTTAAGAAGGTCGGATGTTATTGTTGATGAGACGTCGGCTCGTCAGGGCTGCTCCTCTCGTCAGCTTGTTGTTTTCAACCCCCTATCGGGTATTAATCAGTTCCTGCAGCTTTAAGTCTGGAGGCTGTAAATCTTGTGTCATCTTTATCTGATCCCCTCAGTCTGCAGCAGTGACTCAGTTTCCCCACAGAGAATCGTTACCTCTGTAATCTGCTGCCACTCCTGTGCCGCTGGAGGAGACTGCACTTTCACACACCACAGATAAGTGAGTGAAGGAGAGGGCAGCAAGGTTCTACCTCCACTTTCCATTTCACTTCTACATGAGGCCTGTTCTGAAGAGGAAAAAATGAGATGTCACGTTACCTTTCTCAGCATGGCCTCCGACTTCTGCAGGTTGAAGTTTCTGGCTGAAACAGAGAAAGAACAGAGAGATGCTATGCTTCATATGACACTATAACTCGTACAGTTATTTTAAAAAAACATTAAGGACAAACAGGTGAATGTCTCCTGTACGTTCTCAGCTCCTCCGAACGAGACTGATGAGGTGATCTCAGATATCGGTGCATCTAGTCATGGTTTTATTTTCTGGTCTCTCTCTCTGTTCCACATTTTCCTCCGCTCACCCCAAAAAGAATAAAATGTATAAACCTACAGAAAGTAGTTCCAGACTTTCCAGGAGGTCAGTGTATCTCACTGGTCTCGATCTTATGAAATGTATGATTTAAAAATGACTGACTGTCTCATTCCAAGTTATGAAACTGTCTGTGAGGAAATAAAATAAAAACAGAACCATATCTAAAATGATAACCAAGCACGTCCGTAGAAAAAGATATGAGGAAGATAAAGACGTGTATTGTGTGATAGCAGAGCTTCTTTAAACTTTTTTACATAAACAGATGGATGTGGATTTGAAAACAAGTCTCTCTGTCAGATCACTTTTAAATCCACTAGATTCAGATCAAGATCCAAGAATTATTCTCAAAACGAACATGTTTAAAAGTTACAGAAAGTTTTGATCCGACTTCTGTCCTCACTCGTGTCTCATCCTTCCACCAGTTTCTTGGAAATCCGTCGAGAACTTTTTTGTTTAATCCTGCTGACAAACACACAAACCTCCTCGGCGGAGATAATAATGAGACCAGTTTAAAACTAAACATCTTCAGATCCTGTTTTATCTTGTCTTTATTTAGTTTCAGCTTCCTTGTACCAACAACTACAACGTTTGCCGAAAACACTGAACAAACTGTTTCGTAAACCTTTTAACAACCAACAGAATTAGGGGAAAAACAAGTCGATCACTAAATCACCATCATGTGAAAGAAATTAGCCGCGAAGAAATTACACAAGAGTTTTTTTTAAAGGTTTCTGTAAAAAGCAGCTGCAGGGACCACGACACACAAGAATCTCTTATAAACAGTAAGAATTCACTTTGAGGCCTCGGAGAGTAATGATCCTCTTCTGTGACATGACTGAACCACAGGGTGAGGGACGGGGGACACATGGACACACAACGCTAATTCACTGTGTAAGGTGATTAGCTCTGCAGCGACGCTCACTATACCTCCTCCAGCAGTGGATTAAAGTTTAGCAGCTAACGCTCCGTTCTGGCAGCGTAACCGTGGCCTCGAGGGCTCGGAGTGACCGGCAGGGACAGACGGGGACAGGGCAGGACGTGGAGACGGAGACAAGTGTTGTTGTGGGTCGGGAGTAAGTGTACGGCCAACAGGACATAATCATCAGTGGCTTCGCTGAGAGATTTGAGATTGATGTTTTGGGAGTTCAAGAGGGCTGTCTACTGTCAACAAGGCCGGTGGTTCGATCCCCGACTGCAAGATTGCCCTGACATCGTATGGGTGAATGCAACTTGAGTGGTCGAGAAGAATAATATGAAATACTTGGTAATAAAGAGAATAGTGGGTGTGTGTCCCATGTGTGGCCACTTGTGAACACAGAAATCAAACCTGTGACGTTATCTGAAGCCGTGATAAAAGTTTACAGCGTGGCTGGAGTTCATCTGATAACAGCGGATGACACCACCCTCGCACTGTGAGTCTCCGCCAAGGTCCAACCGTCTCACGCCACATTTAAATGTGTTAATTAGCGTCACTGAGAAATGTGATGTTTTTTCATCAAGAGCCCTGAATTTATTCTCGGAGAAATCAAAGTAGGTTTTGTGAAAGTTCCTGCTGATAAACAAACCAGAGGAACAGCCGCCAGCCGCCTCGGGCCTCATTCTGACGTTTGATATCAGGGACGAACTGTCTTTGCATTTATGGGCAAAACCACAGACCCACAATGCACTGCAGCAACACATGATGTCACCACATTCAAAGTGAATTCTGCGTCACACAACATGGTGTTATAACCTGATGTGTGTGTGTGTGTGTGATCCTGATTATTATAAGGTCAATCATTAACTCTGAGCGTGAGCGGCCTCGGGTGATTCTCTTCAAATCAATGAATGGACTGTTCCCGACAGAAACCCAGCGGCTCAGTGTCTCCTGGCAGACGAGCTGTGGCTCATCGTAGTCAACGTTTAATGCGATTATCGGTGGATTAGCCGGATGCGTGGAGTCGTGGAGTCTGAGCGCACAACCTCCACCTCCGATCACGGTCAGACACACTGAGAGAATAAAAGATGCCGGGTCCTGGTTGAGCTGCTGTGACATCAGGGGTCAGAGCAGATTCTGGGTTTTTTTTTTTCAGTTGTGGTTTCAGCATCGTGTTCCACGACCGTGTGAGTTTCTCAACTGCTGCAATCAGTGTTTACATGCGTTGCTTCAAGTCGCCTCATGTGATCAACCGCAGCTTCTGCTTCCCGCACAATGACAGCAGCAGATTTTCACCATGAACTCAAACTGATGATGGGGAAGAGGAACGCACATTTACTGCAAACGGAGAGAGATGAGGGGACGAAGGGGTTTTCCTGTTTTCCACCTCCTGAGCCCAGTGATCAGATCGGATCAGGCGAAATACAAGTTGGATTAGTTTTTTAATTTGAAATTAGAAATAAAATAGATGTGACAGGAGAGGGTGAGGAGCCGTGGGATGGAACCACAGATCTTTCACATTGAAATTCATAACTTTTATTTATTCGACCTAAAACTGCTTAAATCACTTATTTTACGTCGCTTAGGAGAGAATCAGGAAGAGGAGGAAGTTTTGTTTCACTGAAATCTGCTTCAACATGTAATGACAACAATAAATATTACTATAAAGTTTATTTCTATATCACTTGTTATGCTAATGTGCTTAACACGAAACAGAGAAAGTAAAAGGATGGAACGAGAGCAGGTGTCGTAATTTAACTCACCTCTGAGCCAGCGCAACAGGAAGTGGTCATGCTGTGCGGGAAGTTGAGGAAGAATGTCTTGTATCCTCTCTCGAAACTGCAGCGGAAGAGGAAGTAAGGGTTTATCTTCAGCCAAATATTTAAATTTTCAAAACATTTGTTTTCTCTAATTAGAGTCGTGTATATTTCCATATTTCCATCTGACCGTTACTGAGATTGCACAAAAGCTCCTGAAGTGATTTCTCCGACAGTTTGTGGAGAGCTGGTGCACGACCCACGGGTTTCAGAGGTGATCCGAACAAACACGGTGAGACTGGGTGTTAGCCTTGTCGGAGGTGTTTTGTCCGATCAACAGTCTAAACTCTACTATAGCTAAAGAAAACAGAACTCTCCAGTGACTTTGCTTTAAAGAATGATTTGAAGAAGAACTCCAACACCTGCTGTTACTTTCTGGTTTTCGCACGATGTTGGAAACTTGCTGCTGGGATTTTCTCCCACAACACGAGCATTGGTGAGGTAAACACTTTAAATCCATCCCAGAGGTGTTGAAGCTTTGAAAACCGACTCTTTATCAAACTGAAACATTCGTTTATATCCACACACAACGTCTGCAGCACACAATGCATGACTCAGCATTAGGATTTCCCTAAATTAAGTTTAGAACAATATGCTCTGGTGATGGCAATAACTCACTTCCTCTGTCCACATACTTTTGGTCATATAGTGTGATTCACCTTATCTAAGTGTACAAAGTTCCCCTTCAGTCAGACTTACTTAATCCACAGTGAAACACAGTCGTCTCTGTGAGTCTGACGAGTTTAATGATGACGGAGCTCATTGATGAGCTGGAATTCATTTATTTACATATTCATTCATTTATTTACAGCTCGTCAGCTTCTCGTCATCTGTAGCACGTTTGTTTCTGTGTCCGTGCAGTATTGCTGTGTGAAGTCAGATTCATTATTTTAAACTAAATTCAATTCTTTCTCGTGGTTTCTTTCTCTTTGCGCTCAATCTTTCATCTTCAACTTAAAGGTGCAGTGTGTAGAATTTAGTGACACCTAGTGTTGAAGTGTCATGTTGCAGCTGAACACCCCCCTCCTTCCAAACATGAAAAAGAAACTGTGGTAGACTTTAATTGAAAACTCAAAAGGTGTTTAGTTTGTTCAGTCTGGACTAATGTAAAAAAACATGGCGGCCTCCGTAGAGAGGGTCCCCTCCATGTAAATATAAAGTATTTAAATATAAAGTATTTAAATATAAAGGGTCTTTTCTGAGGTAAAGAAAACTACAATTCATATAATTTAGATGAAACGAACAAGTGAAAACATCATGAGGATTATTCTACACTAAGTTTCTGCCATTAGATCCTCTCACCTGAATCTTACACACTGGACCTTGAAGCACCTCCTGCTATGAATAAAGTTTATTATCATTACACAATATTACACCCCCCCACTAAACCCACTAATGCACCTGAACTGTATTAACCATCAGAGAGGGAGCAGCTTATAAAACCTGGACTGACTGGATGTGATGTAACCATGACAATGAAACCCAGGAAGTAAAAGATGAGAAAGAGCCAAATTGATATTGTGCTTTTTAGGTACGAGAGAAATAATGTGACTGTGGAATCAGAGAGATTCACAGGAAACTGCAGAATGTGACGAATCTAATAATGACGAGTGAGTATCACTGTTATTATTATTATTATTATTGTTATGAAGAAGAAGAAGATGATGAAGAAGAAGATGATGAAGAAGATGAAGATGAAGAAGAAGATGAGGATAACTACCTGCTGCAGAGCTTCGGTCTGTTTAGGACTCAGGTCTCCAACTCTTCCGCTCATGTCTGAGCTCAGAGGACGTGACGGAGCAGATTTAAACTCAGATCCTCAGACGCAGCTGGTTTCCAACGCGTCACCGGCTCCTCCCGCACCTTCTCCCCGGGATGCTGCGCTCCGTCCTCGGTGTCGTGTTGTCTCCAGCTGGACGTCAGGTGGAACCACACATGTAATCACCTCCCTCCCTCTCTCCCTCTCTCTCTCTCTCTCTCTCTCGCTGTGTCTCTCTATGTTTCTCTCTCTCTCTCTCTCTCTCCAACCAGCTGACCTGGCCAAAGATAGGAGAAATGACAGGACGATCACTCTGAGCGAAAAAACATGAACCACAGAGAAGGCGGAGGAGGAGGAGGAGGAAGCCCCGCCCCCGAAACCAGCCGACCTGGCCAAAGATAAGAGAAATGACAGGACGATCACTCTGAGCGGAAAAACATGAACCAAAGAGAAGGAGGGGGATGAGCCCCGCCCCCTTCTCCAAGATGTTTATGTTAGACTTGATGAAAACGTGACATCACTTTTTCAAACTACGAACATGTGCTAACAGCAAATTCTACAGCATCAAATCATATTATATACACACATGGCAGGTGCAGGTCATGTGATACTTGTTGTTAGCTTGTTGTTAGCTTGTTGTGTAACATCTTCCAGCAGCTATGATATCAGCTCGGAGGTACATCTGCTAAAGGAAGATTCAAAGCTTAACGAACAATTATCTCACTTATTTCAGCTCCTACATCGGCTGTTATTGTTTTGTCACTTTTACTGACCCGTTTCATTTCAGAACTTTCAGGTCATATTGAAATGAGTCATATTGAAATGAGTCATACTGAACGGACGTGCCACTTTTTTTTTTCCTTCAACAAAACACCTGCTTGAACAGCACTAAGTGAACAAAGTGTGTGTTATTTTATTAATCATTAATGATCTATTTTTTATATTTATTATTGAATTAAACTTTCGCGGCATGTAGCGGTGAAGACCTGTCACCTTTAACCCGTCATCAAGTGAAAGAACTACGGTGGCCTTCATTTAACGAAAAATCGCGAAAAGCCAGATATTGGTTTGTCCCTTCTGAGCTACCATAGTAACAATGACGCAACAACATGGTGGACACCGAAGAGCACATCTGATGTATTTTAAAGATAAATCCGTGTGAAGATATAAAAAACTGATTATAATGAAACGAACACACATGTATTGTTTATTTGTGATCACACAGCAGAGATAAAACTATTCTGCTCTTTATTTCACGATGTATCTGAACCGTGCGAGACAAGATGCTAACACCCTCCTCGTTTCCGGTTGACCCGGAAGTTATCCGGGCTTGTTTACATTCTCAGAGGGAGGAGAGAAACGTCACCAGCTTCCGCTCCAGAACAACAATGTCTGACACGCTGGGTTTTCGTGTTTGTTAACGTTTCCTCCGTGTCGCCTCGGACCATGGCTCCTTCTCTCCGCCGCCGCTGCTGCTGCTGCCTCTGGGTCGCGCTGCCGCTGCTCGGGCAGCTGGTGGCGGCGGAGCTGCTCGCTCAGGTGGAGGTTTTCCTGGAGCAGCGGCCCGGGGTCAGCGCTCTGCTCCAGGGGGAGGTGGTGGAGCCGAGCGGCGGCGGCGGCAGGAGCCCCGAGCCCCGGGAGGAGCTGGACGGGGAGCTGGTCCTGGTGAGTGTCCGGAGGCTCTGGTTCAAAGATCATTCATTTAATGTGGTGATGGTTGTTTATAACACTGAGTTTATAATGGGACCAATTATTATATCTAAATCTACCAGTTTACCCCAAATATGATCAATCAACTTTAGTTTAAATAAAATAAGTAATACATGTGTGAAATCTAAATATACACTCTACTTTTCCTTAATGATACTTTAATATTGTTATAATCAGATAATATAATCAGAAAAATGCTTATTTCTTGTTATATAAAGTGAATATTTGGGGTTTTGAATTAACTTCTTGTGGCAAATGATGCTGACAGTGATATATTTGATTATATACTGTATATATTTGTGTGTGTGTATTTTTTAAAGTACATTTTCATACTGGAAAAACAAACGTTAATAATCGTAGATCTTTATTTTCAATCAAATCAAGGTCACAAACACATTTCCTGTTTTACTTCAGTAAAGTGAATACTTTTGGGTTTTGAATTAAATTCTTGTGGCTAATAATGGACAATCTTTTTATATTTTATTTTTTATATTTGTACTTGCACAAATAAACCACAGAAAATTCCACGTGTGTATAAACCTGTTCGGCAATAAAACCTGATTCTGATTAAGAAACAAGACAAAATCAACTTGTGCTCTAAGAAATTGTTGTTGGCATTTTCCTTTGTTTCATAAATCAAATGACTGATTAAGTAATTTAATAATTGTTCAGTTTATAGTGAAAATAATCTTTTGCTCTCTATGAACAACTCTCTCCTTGGACAGTCGCTGTAAATGGTCCCTGAGATTCTTCCTCTATGTCTACTCCTCAACTTTGAGCTTTTAAAGGAAAGTTGGATTTGACAATATTTGCATTTTCTCCTCAGGTTCAAGATGAGGAGTCGCAGGTGAGCGGAGGGAAAGCGGAGGAGGACGCCAGCGAGCAGGAGCCGTGGATCGGGCTGGTTCCCGTGGAGATGGACGACAGCAAAGCCTCCACTGGGAACCAGGAGTCCTTCACTGATGCAATGGTGAATAAAGTGAGTGTGGTCGAACTCTGAGTTATTTTGTTTTGAGCTTCAGTTGAATAAAACGTAAGATTGTCTCGTCTCTGTCCAAGATGAAGCGAGCCCTGGTCCTCGGAGCTTCAGCGCTGATCATTCTGGCTCTCAACCAGAACACCGTCAGTGAGGTAGAAGTATCTGAGTTGTGTTACTGATAATTACAGTTGAATATGTGTGTGTGAGTGTGTGTGTGTGTGTCATCACATGCAGTTTGTATTTAATCTTAAAGTAGAGCCCGGCCAATATACAGTATATTGTTGGGGTCTGATATTGTAGAATCAAATATTTGCTCAAAAACGTTGAGGTGTGAAAATGACGGTGTTGCTCATGTTTCTGAACTAAATTCTGGCTCTTTGTGTTTCAGATGGATCTTTCTCAGGTTCTGTCGAAGCCCATCATCGTGATCCAGACGTCTGAAAATGTCACTAAGCTGATCGGCGCTCTGCTCAGGTACAAGAACGCCTCAAAGTCACAGAACTGTTCTGTTCCCTGAATTCAAATGTAAAGATAACTTTATTTATTACTCAGAGGGTTTATAAAGTACAGAACATAATGTCTGTGGTGCTGATGGTAGAAATCACAGTGTCTCGAAATTAACCAGCCGTTTCTCTTACATATCAAATATTAAGTTCTGAAAATTGGCACTGAATATTAAGTCTTAGTCTTAACTTCAAATATAATAATAATGAAATGTTTGTTTCTGCTTTAATCGGAAATGTATTTAAAAAGTCTGATCAGATCTTTATTCACTGTGGTTTATGTTGATGCCACAAAGATTCCACCAGTTTGTCTTTTGATTTGTTCCTTATTCTGTACATGGAACCTCGGTTTATCTTTTAATCTCCTTCTACTTATTGATAAAAAATTCATTTATCGGTTCGTCGTCCTGTAAGCTCAGCGCTCGATGATTGTTCTTGACCCTTAACGTCAGTTTGTGTCTTCACAGGGGCCTTCAGGCGACAGCGAAAATCACGTACAAGACGATCCTGCAGGACAACTTGGTGAGCGCCGCCACAATCCGCTGACTGTGTGTTTTTCAGTTGTTAGCACCCTCCAGTGGTGAGTGAACAGATGACAGGCTGAGCTGACAGTGAGCACGTGCTGCTGTGTGTTCGGGCAGGGCGCCACGCTCACGCTGTGGTCCAGCTGCGGGCGATCGAGAGGCGGGCGCTACGGAGAGTGGCAGGGGGTCATCTGCACGGGAGAGACCAACTCTCAGGTCCAGGTGGGGGGGAGCAGAATCAACACATCAGCATCTTTCTTTCTTGAAGTCAAACAACTTCAGAATGTTTCACAGAACAAACTTTACAAAATACAAAACAACGCAGACAAAGTACAACTTAAAATTATAAGTAGAATGAAAGTTCATGTGAAGTAAAACAAAATGTCTGAATCAATGAAACCAATCAATCACACACAGTCTCAAATTTAGTCAATTTCAATATTGTCTTCAATGTTTCGTTGTTTAACTTTTTATTGTTTAATAGAAGAGTGATTTATTTATTATGTTTATTTTTCAGGGAGAGTGTATTTTAATAAAAACACTGTAAATATTTATTATATATTTAAATCCAGGCATGAAAATACAATTCCAAGTTTAGTTTGAACACTTTTTAAAAACTCATTTGTGTTTTCTGAGTCGTTGTTTGTGATTTAAATGAAATGTAAACGAGTCAGAAGATAAAACAACTCCTCTTCCTCTTCCCTCGCTCCGTGTCTGTAGAAATACCTGCAGCAGTTGTGGGACACTGTCCTCCTGGTGGCGCTGATCATCAGCACCGGAGTCATCGTTCAGGCCCGTTGGCAGTACCAGGACCACGAGCTCAACGACGACCTGGAGGTAAACGCCTCAGCTCTCATCGAGACCCTGTAGGTTCCAATGGTCTGTGGAGATGGTGCTAACTGAGCAGACTGTGTTTCACTGTACTTGTAAAATGTGCAGCGTTGAATCTAATCGAAGTAAGAAGTACCTGAACATCTTTAAAACCTCTAATGTATTTACGACTCTGAGTTTCTGAGGATTCGTATCTTCACTACACAGTTTGATCCATTTATTAACAGCCAGTCTCAGAACATTTAGATTTTATTGAGCTCCGAGCGTCGATGTTCCAGAAGTTCCAGAAGTTCCAGATCCATATCTCGTAAAAGGAAAACTTTCAGTCCTGTGTTTCCATAACGCCGTCATGTGACGCTCGGCTGCGTCGTGTCCTCAGCTGCTTCCCAAACAGGACGTCCTGAAGAGGATGTCGTCTCTGAAGACCAAAACGTATCGTCAGCCCAAACCCTGGTGTGACCCGTCCCAGCCGGTGGAGACGGACAACTGTGCCGTCTGTCTGGAGCCGTTCAACAACAACCAGGTATAAATGATATAAATCACAGTGATTATATTTATATTTATATATAACTGACAGTTTATACAACCCGCTGTCCTGCGCCTGAGATAAACACCAGAAAGCTCCGGTGCTGTGACTCTGCTGATTTCAGATCACGTAATCTGTGATCCACGAAGTGCGGTTCATCATGTTGTGTTGTCGTCCTCTCAGTGTCTGCGCGTGTTGCCGTGTTCTCACGAGTACCACAGAGAGTGTGTGGACCCCTGGCTGCTGCTGCAACACACGTGTCCTCTGTGCAAACGCAGCATCCTCAGTGAGTTCACGTCACGACATCACAGTCACACTGTCGTCTTCTGCTCTCTGATACACAGGTTCTACACTGATTGATAACATTTTATAATAGTTTCATTATATTATTTGTACCAAAGTGAACTGTCCGTCAGTGTTGTATGATTTATATT